TCACTACAAGCTCACTGTGTCAGTATTGGTGGATTCCATACGTGCAGAAGGCTGGCCAGGTAAATCGACCCAAGTGTGCTTGAATTCACGGCTCTTGGTGAACCTCGTGGCCCAGTTGGTAGAGTGTTGGCTGTACTCAAGCCTTTCCTTGTCTGCTTCGACTGAGTAAGGTCGGTTCATGTGGTTAATTAGTGCGCGCAGAAGACTTTACGCGGCAACTTTACGTATTTTTCGTGTTTCCTCTTCAAGTTTACACTAGCAGAGCTGTGTGCCAAATGTGAACGCTTGATCGGTACTCAGGGCGGTGGAATGGACCAAGCGGCCTGCCTACTCGCCAGTGAATCAGTAAGAGACCTTTTAAAGTTTAAAGCTTCTAGTAAACTAATTTTTTCCGTTTTTATTTATTTCATAAATATATACATATGTATCAAGGGAATACTTTCATATATTAGTAAGTGCATGATATGAAGTTAAGTGACCGGGATATGAATTTTCAAGGTCAGAGTCGAGATTTAAATGAGCATTTGATTCGAAGCTACTCAAGTACATTTGGAGTTACCACATAATTCCCTTTCTACAAACAAAAATTACTACAAGTAGCATACATTTCATATGGAAAGGAGACACGTTTCGCCAGTGTTTCTGCTGCTGCCTGATATGGCAACGAGGGGTTTAGCTCTTCTGTGCGTCCTCCAGAGTTTCCTGCGCATTTTTTGGTATACAACGTCAAGATACTAATGCCGGAAATATTTTTTTGGAAATCATTAAGTGCACAACGTGGACTTAAGTGACCGGGACATGACGTTTTAGAGTATGAATAACCACGTACTGCCAGAAACTGCACAGAAAACGCTTGAGGGCTTATTGAGTTATTGAAGTTCTTTTTGCTGCGTCATGCAATAGTGGAAACATCAGCGAACCACGTACCTGACCTTTTTAGCTAGTACTTATGTCGGGAGTATGTAATAAAAACGTTGCCATCGCCAATACAAGCGAACATGCGAGTCCCAGGAAGTAATTGAAAAGAAGGAGACGACTCGATCGCTGGAACAATCCTTTTATTCGCCTGACGTTTCGACATCCGGCCGTTGTGCTTACGCAAACGAGATGGCCAACAAAATCGCACCAACCCCAAAATTTTACGAGCGAGCCCGTACGTCAAAAACCTCTCGGAGGCTGTCGGCCACCGTCTCGCACCAATTGGAGTTGAAGTCGCACACAAACCGGATAATAGATTTTTATCCAATTTTCTAAAGACATTTAATTGATAATCTAATTGCTACTTCGGCGTAGATATCCAAAAACCTATTTCGACTCTTGATAGTTTGAATATTTTTTAAGCATATCACAGTTTGTTTGCGATTCATTATCATCATAATTTACTTCAAACTGGGCACTCCTTTTCTTTCCCTCTCTTTAGCCCATATTCATTGAGTTCACAAAACCGAAACTCACAGTGGTGCCAGTGGCTGTTCCACCCGGTGGTTCCTTTGTGATTGTTGACTCCGGCGTTCGTCTTCACAAGGCGGCATCTCCGTTGTTCAACCAGCGAGTCAGCGAATGTCGACAAGCTGTGAAGGTTAGCTTACTTACTGCAACTTTCCCCGCTCTTGAAGAAACCACAGCGTGCCCAACTATGTGCGGATACAGAGGGAGCCCTACGGTTTAGGCATTTAATATGGAGATAGTACACAAAAATTATTAGGGGTAAATTTATTACTTTTACAATCTAAGTTGCATTAAATAGACATTCTAAATGCCTTCGCGGATAGAAAGAGATGAACAAGAAAGCAAGACTGCAGGTCATAGTCTCTACTACCGTTGGACATGCTGGTTTTATGCAAGCTTACTCATCATTTCTCTCGGAAAAGTCCTATTTCAGTAGCGTCTGATCGTTTTTGATAAATCGTCTACGTAAGAAGGAGTAGACTCGATCACTCCAAAAAGGACTTTACTTGTCTGACGTTTCGGAATCGCTCTCGAATCACGCATCAGTGACTGTACACAGGAAACCGGCTGGCCGAGTAATTATTGCGCCCAAATATAGAATGGGTGATGAAAGTTCTGAAGCCACGACGCGCGCGCCGTCCATCGAGCAATTAGCGCCTGAGCGGGCAACCATCCTCTCTCCAGGGGGAGCCATTAATTGTCATAGCTATGCAGTAGGGTAGTCACTGCAAGGCCCTATCAGTTCGTGCTAGTCTCCCTGATGATGGCTTCGAGAGCGAATCCGAAACGTCAAGCCAAACGCTGGCGCCTACCTCTTCTCAATTACTCGCATTGTTGCTTCTATTCACAAATCGACTGGGACCTTGAACACCCTCTTAGGTCATTAGAGAGAAAGCAAAAAATACATTTTTTAAAATAAGCTTTTAGATAATTGCACCTTTTCGAAATTTCGCTCCTGAGGTCAGGATTTTTGGGCTGTTAGAGATCGTCAAATAAGATAGGCTATAATAATATATAGTAGTCTCTAAAATCACGCAACAGGTAGACATATGCGAAAGATTGATACTTCTTCGCTAATCGGCATTGACTCAGGTTGTGATACTGATTATCATGTAGTCTAT